GTGGATGCATACCCCGATCCGGAGTATGCATCTCCGGATCGGGGTAGTCGACCACTGAAGAGATCGTAGGTAGCTAAGTGTGAAATAAAAAAAAGGTCTTTACCTCGCTCTCTTTATCTATACGTAAGGTCCGTGTGGATGCATACCCCGATCCGGAGTATGCATCTCCGGATCGGGGTAGTCGGCCACTTAAGAAATCGTAGGTATCGAAGTGTGAAATAAAAAAAGGTATTTACCTCGCTCTCTTTATCTATACGTAAGGTCCGTGTGGATGCATACCCCGATCCGGAGTATGCATCTCCGGATCGGGGTAGTCGGCCACTGAAGAGATCGTAGGTATCGAAGTGTGAAATAAAAAAAAGGTCTTTACCTCGCTCTCTTTATCTATATGTGAGGTCCGTGTGGATGCATACCCCGATCCGGAGTATGCATCTCCGGATCGGGGTAGTCGGCCACTTAAGAAATCGTAGGTATCGAAGTGTGAAATAAAAAAAGGTATTTACCTCGCTCTCTTTATCTATACGTAAGGTCCGTGTGGATGCATACCCCGATCCGGAGTATGCATCTCCGGATCGGGGTAGTCGGCCACTGAAGAGATCGTAGGTATCGAAGTGTGAAATAAAAAAAGGTCTTTACCTCGCTCTCTTTATCTATACGTAAGGTCCGTGTGGATGCATACCCCGATCCGGAGTATGCATCTCCGGATCGGGGTAGTCGGCCACTTAAGAAATCGTAGGTATCGAAGTGTGAAATAAAAAAAGGTCTTTACCTCGCTCTCTTTATCTATACGTAAGGTCCGTGTGGATGCATACCCCTATCCGGAGTATGCATCTCCGGATCGGGGTAGTCGGCCACTGAAGAGATCGTAGGTATCGAAGTGTGAAATAAAAAAAAGGTCTTTACCTCGCTCTCTTTATCTATATGTGAGGTCCGTGTGGATGCATACCCCGATCCGGAGTATGCATCTCCGGATCGGGGTAGTCGGCCACTTAAGAAATCGTAGGTATCGAAGTGTGAAATAAAAAAAGGTATTTACCTCGCTCTCTTTATCTATACGTAAGGTCCGTGTGGATGCATACCCCGATCCGGAGTATGCATCTCCGGATCGGGGTAGTCGGCCACTGAAGAGATCGTAGGTATCGAAGTGTGAAATAAAAAAAGGTCTTTACCTCGCTCTCTTTATCTATACGTAAGGTCCGTGTGGATGCATACCCCGATCCGGAGTATGCATCTCCGGATCGGGGTAGTCGGCCACTTAAGAAATCGTAGGTATCGAAGTGTGAAATAAAAAAAGGTCTTTACCTCGCTCTCTTTATCTATACGTAAGGTCCGTGTGGATGCATACCCCGATCCGGAGTATGCATCTCCGGATCGGGGTAGTCGGCCACTTAAGAGATCGTAGGTAGCTAAGTGTGAAATAAAAAAAAGGTCTTTACCTCGCTCTCTTTATCTACACGTAAGGTCCGTGTGGATGCATACCCCGATCCGGAGTATGCATCTCCGGATCGGGGTAGTCGGCCACTTAAGAAATCGTAGGTATCGAAGTGTGAAATAAAAAAAGGTCTTTACCTCGCTCTCTTTATCTATACGTAAGGTCCGTGTGGATGCATACCCCGATCCGGAGTATGCATCTCCGGATCGGGGTAGTCGGCCACTGAAGAGATCGTAGGTAGCTAAGTGTGAAATAAAAAAAAGGTCTTTACCTCGCTCTCTTTATCTACACGTAAGGTCCGTGTGGATGCATACCCCGATCCGGAGTATGCATCTCCGGATCGGGGTAGTCGGCCACTTAAGAGATCGTAGGTATCGAAGTGTGAAATAAAAAAAGGTCTTTACCTCGCTCTCTTTATCTATACGTAAGGTTCGTGTGGATGCATACCCCGATCCGGAGTATGCATCTCCGGATCGGGGTAGTCGGCCACTGAAGAGATCGTAGGTATCGAAGTGTGAAATTAAAAAAGGTCTTTACCTCGCTCTCTTTATCTATACGTAAGGTCCGTGTGGATGCATACCCCGATCCGGAGTATGCATCTCCGGATCGGGGTAGTCGGCCACTTAAGAAATCGTAGGTATCGAAGTGTGAAATAAAAAAAGGTATTTACCTCGCTCTCTTTATCTATACGTAAGGTCCGTGTGGATGCATACCCCGATCCGGAGTATGCATCTCCGGATCGGGGTAGTCGGCCACTGAAGAGATCGTAGGTATCGAAGTGTGAAATAAAAAAAAGGTCTTTACCTCGCTCTCTTTATCTATATGTGAGGTCCGTGTGGATGCATACCCCGATCCGGAGTATGCATCTCCGGATCGGGGTAGTCGGCCACTTAAGAAATCGTAGGTATCGAAGTGTGAAATAAAAAAAGGTATTTACCTCGCTCTCTTTATCTATACGTAAGGTCCGTGTGGATGCATACCCCGATCCGGAGTATGCATCTCCGGATCGGGGTAGTCGGCCACTGAAGAGATCGTAGGTATCGAAGTGTGAAATAAAAAAAGGTCTTTACCTCGCTCTCTTTATCTATACGTAAGGTCCGTGTGGATGCATACCCCGATCCGGAGTATGCATCTCCGGATCGGGGTAGTCGGCCACTTAAGAAATCGTAGGTATCGAAGTGTGAAATAAAAAAAGGTATTTACCTCGCTCTCTTTATCTATACGTAAGGTCCGTGTGGATGCATACCCCGATCCGGAGTATGCATCTCCGGATCGGGGTAGTCGGCCACTGAAGAGATCGTAGGTATCGAAGTGTGAAATAAAAAAAAGGTCTTTACCTCGCTCTCTTTATCTATATGTGAGGTCCGTGTGGATGCATACCCCGATCCGGAGTATGCATCTCCGGATCGGGGTAGTCGGCCACTTAAGAAATCGTAGGTATCGAAGTGTGAAATAAAAAAAGGTATTTACCTCGCTCTCTTTATCTATACGTAAGGTCCGTGTGGATGCATACCCCGATCCGGAGTATGCATCTCCGGATCGGGGTAGTCGGCCACTGAAGAGATCGTAGGTATCGAAGTGTGAAATAAAAAAGGTCTTTACCTCGCTCTCTTTATCTATACGTAAGGTCCGTGTGGATGCATACCCCGATCCGGAGTATGCATCTCCGGATCGGGGTAGTCGGCCACTTAAGAAATCGTAGGTATCGAAGTGTGAAATAAAAAAAGGTCTTTACCTCGCTCTCTTTATCTATACGTAAGGTCCGTGTGGATGCATACCCCGATCCGGAGTATGCATCTCCGGATCGGGGTAGTCGGCCACTTAAGAGATCGTAGGTAGCTAAGTGTGAAATAAAAAAAAGGTCTTTACCTCGCTCTCTTTATCTATATGTGAGGTCCGTGTGGATGCATACCCCGATCCGGAGTATGCATCTCCGGATCGGGGTAGTCGGCCACTGAAGAGATCGTAGGTAGCTAAGTGTGAAATAAAAAAAAGGTCTTTACCTCGCTCTCTTTATTTATATGTGAGGTTCGTGTGGATGCATACCCCGATCCGGAGTATGCATCTCCGGATCGGGGTAGTCGGCCACTGAAGAGATCGTAGGTAGCTAAGTGTGAAATAAAAAAAAGGTCTTTACCTCGCTCTCTTTATCTACACGTAAGGTCCGTGTGGATGCATACCCCGATCCGGAGTATGCATCTCCGGATCGGGGTAGTCGGCCACTGAAGAGATCGTAGGTATCGAAGTGTGAAATAAAAAAAGGTCTTTACCTCGCTCTCTTTATCTATACGTAAGGTCCGTGTGGATGCATACCCCGATCCGGAGTATGCATCTCCGGATCGGGGTAGTCGGCCACTGAAGAGATCGTAGGTAGCTAAGTGTGAAATAAAAAAAAGGTCTTTACCCTCGCCCTCTTTATCGATATGTAAGGTCCGTGTAGACAACAACGGAGACACAAACCGGAACCGAAACATAAAACAAAAACCGTTAAAAAGCGTAGATTTTTTGCTGTTTTTTCTTTTTGCTAACCGTGGATTTAACCGAAACTGGAGACAACTGCTAACTCATACCTTACAATGGTTCGGAAGTAAGAAACATCGATAAATGTTACCTTCAAGGAATCCCATGGTGTGATTTTCAATTTTGTTCAATCGCATGCTTCGCGCGAATGATAGAGTCTCACAGCGTGGGCAAGTGGCACTGCATACTTCTCGTGAAAGTACACGCGAAAGGAGGTGTCGGGATGCCGCATTAATGGACAAGTCTCACTTTGTCGAGCATTTAAATTTCCCTAAATTGTCCGCTATGTTAATTAGTGATTTTAATTAGTTAGCCGAGTTATCGCAAATATTAGCCACCCACATAATGTCCCCTTGGGCGTATAACTCACTCGCACAAACCACATAAGTGAAGCTTTAACGGCTTTTTTTTAAACAAATGTGCAAAAATAAGAATAAAAAAAAACACCCTTTATATAGGGTGTCTTTTTTTAAGCTTTACAAATTTCTTTTAAAAAAAGGCATGAAAGTTACATTTATGCGGTTTGTGCCGGTCAGTTATACGGCCAGGGGAACATTATGTGGGTAACTAATCTTCGCGATAAGTCGGCTAATTAATTAAAATTTCTTAATTCACTTTTTAGTTAGTGAAAATAGACATAGGGTTCCAATTAGAAACTTAGAGGGCGTCATCGAAAACTACTAAATAAACTCTTTTTAGAACGACTTCAAGCTCGTGGGAAACTCGGGGGCGCGCCAAAGTTACCACGCAGTGGCAGAACGCGATAATGATCTAATCATCCGCGTTCCGCCACTGCTAGCTTTGCGCCGGCCTGCTTTTTCGGCGCCCCCCCCCCCACCCCTCCCCCCCGAGCAGTAAGTTTGGTTACCGAACAGATTCTGCTTTTACGGTTACGGTTACCGAGCAGATCCCGCTTTTCATCGGTTTTCGGTTCGGATTTTGATTCCGGTTTTAGTTCCTGCCAGGCATGAGTACCTTTGATTTCCCACAATGGCCTTATCGGGATAAAAATAGATTCTACTCACGATTAACTCTTCACGCTCCTTACCTTTGACTCGATAGGGTACCAACACTGTTCGAGGTTTGGTTTAGTGTTGGCTGTATCCGGTGTGAAGGACCTGAGTCTCGAGGGGCAGCGCTCAATCAAAGCCTTGGGCCAACGGCAGTCGAAGAATGTCGGTGACAATGCGATCATTGTGTAGGGAAACATTCCTGAAACAGGACACGGTCCAGTTTTTATCTCTCTAGTACAGTTCATTCTGAGAACGGGGAAAAAAGCAGCACTTAGTCATTTTATTAAAGGTGTTGGTTTATTACAGATGTTGGTCATTAAAGATGTTGGTAATTAAAGATGTTGGTTATAGGGTAAATGCTTGCACAATACATGTAGAATTCAAAAAGGTCACTGAAGTATTTTTTTAGTGAGTCTACAATAATGAGACTTCAGCAGCACTTAGCTATTTAAGTATCACTTAGTTACTTAATTCAAGATGTTAGCACTTTATGTAGGGTAAAATAAAAACTTGCGTACTACATGTAATGCGCAAAGCGGTTGAAGTAGTTTTTTGTTTGGTGAGTCCGATTTTCAAACTCCAACACCACTTAGTTATTAAGTATCACTTAGTTATTTGATTCAAGGTGTTGACACTTAATGTAAAGTAATATAAAAGCTTGCGTACTACGTGTATAATGCAAAGAGGTTACTGAAGTAGTTTTTTGTTTAGTGAGTCTGATTATAAAACTTCAAAAGAACCTAGTTATTTGATTAAAGGAGATGTTGGCACATTATGTAGGGCAGCTTAAAATGATGTGTACCACACATCAAAGGCAAAGGGGTTACAAAAGTAATCTTTTGCTTAGTGAGTCTAGTAAATAAACTTCAAGGTGGGCACCTTTATCAAATCAGTGTAGAACAGCATGCAGGCTAGTTCAAATAATAAAGTTATTAACTTAACTCAATGAATTTTCGTACACGAGTAAAAACATGACGTTGCGCAAGTAAAACGAAATCATAAGCGTATATTGCGCGGCGTAGTTTCGTGGCGGCGATTTATAGCACGTGTTTCTGAATCTGCATTGATTTGTGTTTTGGTCAGTGGCTGTGCTAACAATATGTACTTCGTCTGAAAACAGGTAAAGGAGGCTGCCACCGCAGTTTCTTGCTTTGACCTTTAAATACTGCTAATTTAGCAGAAGGTGCCAAAAAGAAACCCTATATGCCTAGAGGCGTATCCGTGTGGCTTTTGAGTTCTACCACGAATATGAGAACGACAACTGCAAGTCACATGCTCTAACAGTAAGGAAATCGCTATTCATTTGTAAGATGCCTGTAATTCTTACCGTCCAGTAAATTGTTCTTTAAAGTTTGTCCGCCAGATGCTCATATAGACGATTCTTCATCATGAAAGGTCTAACCGATCATGCAAGTTGTTGTATTTGCTTTTTGTGACGTGTCTTTCCGAACGTTTCGCAGAGCTGGGCACGACTCCTAAAAAGTATCCTCGCTACCGATATCCGATACCCCCAAAAATTGCATTGTCGATACCTTTACAAGATATATACATAACCGATATTTTACTTCCGATACAGATACTCGATACCGTATCGTTGATACTTCGATACTTTACTGAAATCGTCAATATTAATAAAGCCGGTAATATGATTAGCTAAGTCACGAAATTTATCCGTGGTTTCTGGAATACTTTTATTGTATTCGGTATGCGGACTGTTTTTGAAAGGGCTTAAACAGATCCAGCCTCACGGATTCCTTTATGCTCCAATGTCGGCGCAGCTGGCATTGAACTGAAGCCATGGTAATGTTTAAATGATCACTTTCATAAGCAGCGTAGCAAATGCTTAATAATTCTTAAGCTACTACTGTGCGTTTTCAGATAAGGTCGAACAACCACGTCCGGTGAACATCTTCAATTTTAATGAAAAAAAATATTTCGCTTGCTCCATGTCCAAAAGAATATAACCAATCCTTCTGTCGAAAAAAAAAAAAATTGTGTTTGCAAAAAACGTTTGTAAGCACCCTCTCAGTCACTTGCGCGTTTTGCGTATCGCGCATGTTGGCATTTCGGGCGGCTTCCCCCAAAAAACTGTTCTAGCTACGGCTCTAGAAATATTTACTCACACATTAGGCATAGGATGGATTAGCAAAAAGTATTATTTACCGAGTATTAGGGTCGTTATGTTGAGAAACAAAATCGCAAATACGGCGAATTGCGCAATAACGCTCTGGATTATTTTTTTTTTCTCTCCGTATCTCTAAAAACTAAGGTCTTCATACCTAGCCAGTGTGTTGCGCTGTATATAGTTCATCTTTGCATAAAATATTGTTGCCCTGGTTAGCGGGAGAAATTTACTGAAATGGCTCACACAGGGGCATTTAACTAAAGATGCATTACTTTTGAAAATCACATAAAAAAAGGTAATCTTTAATATTCTTTAATCTCTCCAAATTTAACATTTATAATATGTACGAACAGAGTCTGCAAGAGCATAGTGCAATATTTGTGTGGCTTCGAAGTTTTAAAGCGAGAAATATGGCCAAATTGACGCAAACGCGGTTGCCATAAATGGGAGGTGTACATACCCGTTCTTCACAATTTCATTATTATTTAAAAGCGTAAAAATGCTACGGGGTGGTCAGGAAAAGACAAATTGACAGCACGGAGGTGGACGGTAGTTTTGAAGGGAAAGTTCCTAACACATTTTCGTACAACCCACCCAAAAATGCACATGGACCGGAGCGATCGAGGTGCGTCACCCTGTAACATGCTTCGCGGTGCCCGTTTGAACAGCCGGCGTGTAGCGTCCCCGCCAACGCGACGTAAAGCAAGCAACCGGGGCGACTTTGCAAACAGATCAGCCTACAACCTTGGCGGTAACATGATATAGGAGGTAGGGCGCGGCAGAACCTGAATCTGCGCCGCCCGTGAACGCCAATAGATCCGCCGCCGCGGAAGGCCGCACAACGCAGAATAAAATAAGGATACTACGAAAAAAAAAATCGATTGACTGAGATTGCCTGTATTGGGCATTTTCAGATAGGATCGAACGACCATGTCCGGTCTACATTTTTTTATTTTTACCAAAAGATATACATATATCAGTTGAGCAACCGCAAAAACATATCCGAACTTTTTTTTCGAAAAATATTTATTTTGAGGAACAAAAATCACAAAGTCGCTGTCGGTATACGAGCACGTTTTTGCGACTTGCGTGAAACCGTCCCTTTGGATATTTATAGGGCTGGGGGTCGATTAAAATTTTAACCCGATTAATCGACATTTCGATTAATTAATCGATTTCGTTCATTCCCATGTCTAATATATTTTTGAAAAAGTCAGAACTAAAATGTTTGCCTCTGCTGAATATGAGATAAACGGCGCAACGTACAATTTCGTATTTAAAAAAAAACAAAAAAAAACCCTCCATGTGTAGATGAGAGCAGTCAAAAGATATCCACACTAACAAATTATTACTTCAGCCTCAGAGGAAACAAGGTTCGTTGATATTCTCCGGCACTAGCGTACCTTTTTGTTATCACAACAGTTTCTGCTGCGCTAAACGGACACTCGCACGGTGTTGAAGTGGCCACGACGCGTATAACCTCGTTTAGGGTTACAGTTTCTGGTTTAATGAAGAACTGGCCTGGACAAGTCACATTAATAAATTAAGGGGGAATTATCAAGAGTGGCCGGATGCATGTATAAAATAGCAAACTTAATGCCCAATTGGCTTACCAAAAACTTATATTTTCCCTAATTTACTCAAGGCTCTGTTTTGGAATTATGGTATGGGGAACAACCACGTCTACAAATTATGATAAAGTAATCATACTTCAAAAAAAGGTTCTGCGAATTTTGGAAAACTACCACGGCAATATTCGCGAATTTAATAGCAGTCCTTATTTTACTGGGTATAACATGCTCAAAGCAAATCAAATCTAATTTTTTAAACTTATGCAGACAATACACACACAAAAAAACCAAAAAAAAAAAACAACCTCTACTGAGTGGTCGAATCTGCTTCACAACTTTATCTGTTGAGGAATGGTAAACGTAAAACTCCTAAGGTGCGTATAAACTATGGAAAGCAGAAAATTGATTATCAGATTCCTGCATTACTAAATACTATGGAAGATTACACTGATTTTACACAGTCATTTTATAAATACAAGAAAGAGATTAAGCAAATACTTATAGACAAAAAACATCTGTTACCCGTTGTAGATTTTTTTCTTTTTTTAATGGTCACCTTGAGTCCTTCACAGGACATGTCAATACCAAAACTGCTGAGTATTCTTTGTTTATTGTGCGGTATGAAATAAAATTTTTGTTTAATGTGTTGCATGAAATGTGTTTTGTGTACACAGGCATGTATATTGAAGCAGAAACGAATGTTATAAAGCTGTATACCGTGCCACCTTTTTGCACGTCTGTTATCTGCGGGGGGTAGAGACCCAGTCAGACAGAAATGCCTTTGCCACTACCTCTCTACCGAACTTGGCCCGTGAAAATCCTAATAAACTTTCACTTTCACTTTAAAAAAAAGGAAAAAAAAATATCGCCCCTACAGTTCGCTTTAGGTTCATATTTCACCTAAAGTTTGCCTTCATACAAGTCTACTCGTCCACATTTCCGTGGTGAAAGCGTTGAATTTTTACTTTCTTTTTGTTTGTCAAAAACTCAACCGATTAATCGGTTCAAAATTTAATCGTGATTAAAGCTATAATAGAATAATGGGTAGGTTACTCGATCAAATGCCCAGCCCTAGATATTTATAAAAGAAAAACTGTTGTCGCCTTTGGTTTAATTTTTTTTTTCTTCTGGAGAGACTGTACATGAAATAAAAGGAGCTAAACATGTATTATCGATTACTAAGCAATTCAGAGCTTTATGGATCTGAATCTTAAAATACTGGAAATTCAACTTTTTTAACATGATTTGAACGCGTTCGTTCCATATTCGCATAAATTGTCAATAAAATTGAAAACGATAACCTTTTTAAAAATGAAAGCCGTTTACAACTCTCTAACGCCGAATTAGAGCGCAGCTCTTGAGGAGGAGGAGGGGAAGGGTACTGAGGGGAAGGTACATCCTTCCTCCCTCCTCCTCACCTCCTCATCCTGCCTGCTACTCCTCCCTTCGAGCGGCGTCGCCGTCGCCTCACGAGGGTCATGACCTCAAGGGGGTCACGTGACC